TTGCGAGTTTCAAAAACATCAAATCGATCAAGAAATTTTTAATCCAGACGGCGCATAAAAAAACATAAATAAAAAATCTATTTTTTCTTTACTAAGTTTCATTTCCTAATTGTTACTATTTACATACTATTATTGGTTTACATTATAGTTTTATTTATAACTTACTAGTTTTTTAATAAAATTTTATCAGGCGTTTGTTATGGTCTCAAAATTACATTAAAATCGGACCGTAGAGAAACCTTTACTTCTCGGATATTTTGATTTAGAAATGGTCTCAAAGTTACTTGTAATTCGGACCGTAGAGGAAATTTTACTTTTCGATTATTTCGATTTAGAAATGGTCTCAAAGTTACTTGTAATTCGGACCGTAGAGAAAACTTTACTTTTTTGCAATATTTTTTCCTGCTTCGTATATCGTTTTTATATCGCGACTTATATGACTGTTACATCGCCCAAAATAAATTTTTAACCACTCATTTATTTTAAATTTATCTGGCTTTGTTATAGTATTTAGTTTTTCTTATTGCAATATTCATTAATATATTATTTATCTGCTGATTTTCATATTATTACTGTTTATTATGAATTTTTATGATTTATTATCTTGCATTGATTACTCAACTTTATTTGAATTTTCATATGCACAATTTTCATCCTTTATTATTATTCAGAGGAATTTTTTTATATCCTTCATTTAATGTCTACATTTATGCCGGTTACTTATTTAAGGTCTTTGTGCGACGATTTTTTCGCAACCACACATTGTTCTATCATTGTTATGATTCTAGGTTTCGCGGGTTTTTCATTTTCCTTCACTTTTGATTGGTTATCACATTTCGAACGAGATATCTATGACAGCGTTAGAGTTTATTTAAGGCTATTGTTGTTTTGTTGATTAAAAATTTTTTTTTTTTAATGAGGTATTCTGATTTCTGTTTATCTTTGGATTATTTATGCTATTAATACCTATCTGGTTTTAGATCTTAAATTGAATTTATTTATATTTTTATGTTTCGATTAGAATTTTAATTTATTGTGCTTTCATGTTTTCTTTCGGTGGTATGGTAAGTGATTTATTTAGTAATTTTTATTTATTTTTTACAGTTTATCTACACTTTTCATATCATATTTTTAAAAAAACATTAGTGTTTTACAAATTTTGGGTTGGTGGGGTTTTGGCTATTTGTAGTGAGTCCTTTTTTACTGCAGTATGGATAAGGCGTAAGTCGCGGGGTAAAGCACAAGTGGCGATGACGTTTGTCTGACGGGATAAACTAGTTATAAGTGCTGATCCTCATCGAAACGCCTGTAATAATAGACGCGACTCTGAGGAGATGTTTATTACTTTATCACTACATAATTATGTTTACACATTAGCATTAATGTTCTTTTTCCATTCTAAGGCCTTACATTGCTATCTATATTTTTTGTTTTTGTCTTTTATATTTTTTTTTTGTTTTTTATTTTTAAGTTTTTTGTGTATCAATTTTTTAGTTTAAAAAAAATTTTATTTTGGTTATATTTGTTGTATATCTTCGTACGTACTAGTTTTTTATATGATACAATTTTTTCTTATTGTTATTGTGAGTACTGCTTGGATGTGTTGTCTGTCTTACTTGTTTTGAAATTTTCCTCTATTAATCTTTATTTTTGTCTTGACAACTGTCAAAATATGCTTCGTTCGATAAATAATTCTTCTTTATTCTAATGTACTTCATTTCTTCCCTCGGGTGTTCACTGCTCGTGTGTGACCATTCGGCGAATTTTATATGCCAAAGTTTTTAAATAAAATCTCTAAAAACTTCATAGCCCATCATTCCACATAAGTATGGAGTCGTAGCTCTTTTGGCTAAGAGTGATGGCTTGTGGCCTACAGTGACTAATGTGTGCATTTGATCAATTAAAATTATAAAAATTGGTAGATAGTAACCTATATTTTAAAGACTTTAAATTCTGACTAAAATGGAGAAGGAAAGCTTTGAATAAAACTACCAAGTGAGTCTTTGTTGTTATATGAATCTTAATTGTGCAAAAGTTCAGCCAAAATAATTAATAATAACATGTTTAAATACGTGCACACAAATAAGAAAAAATTAGTTTTACAAACATACAAATTATACCTACCTTTTTATAATATAATCTAATGACCGCCATATTAAAAAGATAATAATAATAAGTATTATGTATTTTAAAAAATAAATTTTAATAAATATATTCTCACATGACTAATCCTTCCCAGGAGACGTATGCAGTTTAGCAAACAGCCGTGACCAAGTTATCTCAATAAAAACTTTTTTGTGGACAAACAAGACGGAAAATCACACACGTCTACTAAGAAGGTTTGCATGAGTAAATAAAAATTTTAAAAATATGTATACCCGATGAAAAGTTTACAAAATAAATGCTGTTAATTATACTTTTATACAGTTAAACAATAAAAAACAATTATTTTAATCTTGATAAAGATAATAATCATTTAATATAATTAAATATAATACAAAACCAATTTATACCAATAAAAATAATACAAAACCAATTTATACCAATAAACAAACTTAAAATATCTTTTAAGCTTAAAATTTTATTAATATTTTTAATGGGAAATTTGCGAAAATTAGATAACAAAATGTAAAGAATTTATATATAATTTAAAAATTATAAAGAATTTCTAGATTTTTTATTAAAATTTTACAACGACATCATATACTAAAACTCTTTGGAATTAAATGTACTTGAACAAATTATAAAGTCTGTAGATTGCAGCGTATTTATACAGCATTTTAAAGACTAAAAAATCTCACTAAAATGGAAAAGGTGGGCTTGGATTTAAACTACAAAGTTAGTTTTTGTTGGTACACATTTATTATATTGTTTCTCTAAAAAAAATTTAGTCTAAACATTTTTTTAAACATTCTTTTTAACATGAACACAAAGTGTCTCACCGTTTTGGGATTCTACTTTAGATGTAAGATCGTTGGGAAGATCATTAATGTAGATAAGAAATAACACAGGACCAAGGATAGAACCTTGAGGTACACCAGTAGTTACTGGAAATGAAGAAGAATGTTGGCCTCAGAGGATGAGTTTAATAAAGCAGTTAGAAAAAAATGATTTGATAATCAAAAATTTTCTCAGATACATTATATAAAGTTAATTTATGGAGAAGACCATTATGCCATATATGTCAAAGTATGTACAGCTAGCACAGAACTTTTGCGGATATCTGACTTATTTTTTGTTTTCTTTTAAAAAATCTAGATTAAAGTGGTAATAAAACTAAAAATATTAATTTTTAAGAATTAATTAATATTTAGTAATCTTTTGTTCTTAAGTATCATTTTAATAAATTTTAGTATACTTTCAGAAAGTATTCAAAAGTATTGCAGATTAACACTATAATTCCTTTGCTCAAGAACCATGGCATTAATTGTTTTAATGTATTTAATCGTATTTATTTATATAATATTCTTGCATTCTTGCATAAAAAAAGTTTACTGATGAATTTTAAAAGGGTCCAAAATTTTTTTGCTTTAAACACCTAAAGAGTTCAGAATTAACTGTTTCATTTTTAGGAAGAGAGTATAGTATTCCTCAGCAGAATTGAAAAAAATGCACCTGTCATTATTTAAAAAAAGTGTCCGTTGGAACAGTTTAAGTTAGGCTTCAAAAAGACCTAGGCTTACCATGTCACATGTCAGCACAAAAAACATTGCTTACAGCCACTATAGATAAGGATTGGACACCAGAAAAATGGTCTACCATCATGTGTTCAGATAAAAGCAAATTTTCACTAATAAGTAGAAGCCAAATATATTGATATGGTATTTAAGAACAATGGATAGATGACTTACTATTATATAAATCTTAAAAACGATGGACTGATGACTTATTATATAAATAAATACAATGGACTGATGACTTATTATTATATAAATAAATTGTTACCCCTTTAATCTTGATTTTAAAAAAAAAAAAAAACGAAAATTAAGTGAGATGCTGTTAAGTGAGATTCTGGAAAAATTTTAGCGCTAGCTGTAGATTCAAAACTAAAATCAATAGCAAAAAAAATAGTTTTTTCACCTTAATGTGAATATTTTTTCTTTATACTATACAACAAGAGACAACAACAGTTCTGGCTGAATCTGTTCTAGAAATTACACCAATTCCAACTTGACCTGTCTAAAAGATGATGCTGGTTCTGACTGAATCTGTCATAAAGATGATTGAAGTCCTAAAAAAAAAATATTCTTTTGAAAGTTATAAAACCAGTATTTATGGTCTTGGAAGTGCCCAGCTTTAAAAATATTGAAAATTTATAAACTACTTCAAAGAAAAACATCAAAACATTAAAGGGACAAAATCTATATTTTTTGAACGTGCAGACCTTATGTAAAATGATGCAAGAGATTCCAAACAAAAAAAAACTAAAATACTAAATCAATAATGTTTTCCAAGATATGATCAGTATATGGGTAGAGTACATGAGTAAACTGTTTTGACCAAAATATTGCATACTATAAGATCAATATTCATGTTAAAAGTTTATCTTCTGCATTGCATTAAACCTTAACATTTAAATTGTTTTCAATTATAAATTGCCTTCTAATTCAATTGTAAAATGTCTTCAGAAAAGTATTAAAAGTAATAACAACTGAGGCTTAATTATGACCAAGGTTTAATTTGATAGAAATGGGGTCTGGGCAAATTCTAAGGGGTTTAAATGTAATGAACTATAGTTTTACGGATTATTAAGGAAATGCAGGTTTGTCTAATTTTCTGTTAATCTTATGAAAATTTTAATAAGATTTTTTGTTGTTTATAATTTTACTTTTAAAGACAATTAAATTGTAGATAAGTAAATTGTACAGTAATATGAGATGAATACTAAGTAAAATAATACTTTACAGTACTAATAAAATATATATTATGTAAATATAAATATATAAACTAATTAAATAGGTAATTAAACAAGAATAAAGTTTCATCTGCAAAGTGCATACCAAAATATCTAATGTTTTGTAATGTTCCATTGTTTCATTTAAAAGTCTCTTTGTGTCTTCTTCATTTGTCAGATCATTTACTACGACCAAAAACGGCTATAAAAAAAAATTGCTATTAAAGACAGTAAAACATAAAAAAAAAGATACAAGTAGACACCTGCGTCTTCTTGTATCCTTTTGGAAGTTCGGTTTTTTTTTGGTTTTTGTTTACAAAACATTAATTTAGTGAGTATTAAACGCAAATTTGCGTTTAATACTCACTAAATTAATGTTTTGTAAACAAAAGTTTAACTAAAAAGTTTAACTTTATTTTGTTTCATACCGGTCATTTCGTACTTTATTAAGTTAAATCTTATTTCGTTTTGTACTGGTTTTTACAAAACAAAAATTATTGTTTCAATTAGTACCATATTTTTCACAAAACAAAAAAATTTTGTTTCGTTTTATACCTTTTTTTGCAAAATTGTTTCATTTCGTACCAGTTTTATCGAAATAATATTTTTTATCGTTTTGTCTCGTTTTGTCTTGTACCCTTTTGAAACGCAGATGTTTACTGTTAAGTGAGATTGCATAAAGGATCTAACTTCAGACTTGAGTTTAAACTAAGATTTTTTACGTTCGCTGCAAAAAGTGAAATATACCAACTGAGAAAAATTTAATAATTCAAAAAATACATAAATAAATAAAAAATCTTTTATAAAACATTTATACAATGTCTGTATTCTTTTTTTTAGGGTGGTTGTTATTTTTAACTACCACATTTGATATTTGAATTTTAGAAAAAAACATAAGATAATTTTACAACAATTTTACAACAACTATAAGTTTTGATATGCAATTTATTCACAACTTTTATCAGTCCATATATTAAAAAACTAATTTGCTATATAAGCTAGAACTATGAGAAACTTTGTTAATTTTTTTAAATTACATTTATTCATTTTTACTTGTTTTCGCTTTTTAAAATGTTCTTTCTATATTTGACATTTTTTCTATTTGATATTTTTTATATTATATTTATTATATTATGTTTAATGTATTATATGACGTTTATATTATACTTGACATTTTTTATATTGTAATATTAAACCTGATGATGAGTTAGACCATTAGTTCTATTTGAAACAGCTTTTAAAAAATTTCAAACAGATGCCAATATCAAAGTTTTGTTTTGAATGATGTTTTTATAGATTTTTATTGGAGCAAAGTTTACACCATATTTTTATAACCGTGTCTGCATTGTTAACTTTTATTTCTTGACCAAGAAATTTCTATGATTGATTTTTTAATAGGTTTTGTATTAAAACCTATTAAAAAGTTGATCATAGAAATTTTTTCTTCTCACATCTAATTCTAAGCGGAATTTTTTTTTAGAAGCTCCCCTTTTATTACATTTCAATAACATTTGTAACGAATGAAAAAATTAAATAAAAGAACAGCATGGTTTCTTTTATAAATGTATTTACTACATTTGATGTCTGAAATGGTTTCTTTTATATCACCAAATTTCCAAAATTAATGCAAATTAATAGAGACAATAAAACATAATGATTTCTCTGTTTGAAATAATGTATTTAAAAACATAAAAAAAAGTTTTAAATAGGCTCCTAAAAATTTCATTAAAAAAGTTAAGTAAATTAACAATGCACTACCCAGCTAACACATGCTTAATTAGGCCAACTTTGGGTTAACGTTGGATTGGTTGACTAACGTTGGTCCAACGTAGTGCCAATGCGATGTAACTCTACTTGAATTTTCATCGCGTTGGCTCTACGTTGGGCCAATTTACTTTTATAAATCTAAAATAGACTTGCAGCTTATTAAAATACTCGCGCAAAATATTTATCTAAAGCATATTGATTCTCCATTTTACAATAGTTTGCTTTTTATAATGGTATTGTTGTAAATTAATAAGAAAAGTAAAGGAACATTTGAGTGTTCTGCAAGTATATTATAGATTTGTACATAGAATTGTGCTGCTACATTTACAAAGGCTTCAATATAATATCTATTTTATTAGTTTCGACAGAAATCTTGGTACTAGTATCAAGGTTTCTGTCATTAATTTTCTTGTTAATTTTAGATAATAATTTTATCTATTTATTTTTAAATAAATAATATTATCATCTAAAACATAATAATATTAATTATATCTAAGTTTTATACATTATTAATATAATAAAACATTTTTATGTTAGATATTATTTTATATATATATATATATATATATATATATATATATATATATATATATATATATATATATATATTTTTTAAAAAACCTTATAAATTATTTTTTTTCAGTTTGTTGCTGGTGTTTTTTTATTAACTTGTGTTAAATTAAAGTTTGTTAACAGCATCATTTTATTTTTATAGTTTTATATATCAAAAAGGTATTTTTATAGTTTTGATTATCAGTGTCAATAAAATTTATTCATACAAATGTTTATGTTTACAAAAATGTATTATTAACAAATAATAGATTTATGCAAACATACATATAAAAAATTGTAGATGTATAATACAAAAATAAGCATTTACTAAATGTTCAAATTTTTAAATGAAAATGTGTTTTTAGAATTTAAGAAATTTCATTACAATGCCAGATTATGTTATTGTTTATTTTGAAGATGAACAAGATAATTCTCAGGAAGTAATTCCTGAATCTTGGTTACAGGAAGAGAACAAGTTTGGATACTAGCCAAATTTTAGATCAACAGGACAAATGAACAATGCAATCAAAGATGCAACACAACAAGTTGTACGAATTTATAAAATTTGTTGTTTGCAAGTGCTCCAGCAATATGGCAATAATCAAATACAATAATAATGTTTAATAACAAAAATGGTTTAAGTATATTGATATACTGTATATACTGAATGTATAGAGAATAGAGAATATATAGATACTGTATAAATTTAATGTATTAATGTCATTAAATATATATAATTAACATGGAAAGTCTAAATATGGTGAATCTGGTACAAATGTCTAAATTTATTGTTTGACCTCCCACAATTAGCTCCTGATAGTCAATGTTGGATAGCAAAACTTGTATAATTATTTTAATTGGTTGCATTATTCAGGCACCTACTTTTTTTTTTTAACTGTTTAGGTACTTTTAGAAGTGGCATGAAAACACACAAAAACTGCAGTGTCAATCAAACTTTGATTCCGGTATTGAGAAAATAAATCAAAAGCTAAGAGACATCATTATAATAATATTGAGAATATTGATTACCTCTCAATATTGTCTCAAGAGCAATATGATAAGCAAAGATTCTGCTTAGTTCCTGCTTCTTCAAAATTCTTTTTCCAGGAAAATATGCATGGTAGAGCAGTAATAGCATTATAAATAATTTTTATTATCTTTTGTGATTTTGTCTTGTGCGTTGTTGATGATTTACTATTTTTAATTATTATAGAAAGCAAGTCTGAAACGAGCATGACCCATGGCAAGTTTAAAAACAGCAAAATTTTACACATAAAAAATACAACTGACAAATAGAAACGTGAAACTTAGGAACATAAATTTTGGGTACAGGTATGTATATTAAAATCAAATAATCTGTTTTTTTGCTTTGTTTATAATTTTAAAGACTTAGTTTATTTTTATGATGTTGTAATGGCTTTAAACAGCAAACTAGAAATAATTTTATTTATATAAAAAAAAATGTACTCTTAATTAGACAGCTGTTTTGGTCAAAAAATAACCTAAATATATCTTTATACATTCTATTGATCAGCCTTAACATTTGAGCTGGAGCAAGCATTTGATTAATTGCAACAGAAAATGTCTTTGCAAGATATTGCAAGATAAAAGTACTATTTCTTGTTTGTTCTTTTAAAATTTCTTAAATATGTTCATTTTACTTTTAGTTAGTATTGTGACCAACAGAATATCAATTTGCTTATGCCAAGAATGTCACCAGGTTTATCAACGTAAATATATCTCAAAGTAAATTAAGGTATTTTTTGCTTTTAATTTATCAATATTATAATTTTATTTTAATAGTCATTGTCAAACTGTGGAATTTAAAAAAATATTAAATGTTGTTAATTATGTTTCAATTCAATTATAAAATAACACAATTTACTTATGCATGTTTCATTTCGTGTACAAGACTGAACATCTAATGAAACATGCATAAGTAAGTTTTTAAATTATAGTTAAGTTATAACTGAATATTTATAGTTATTAAAATATAAAGTATATTAAAAGGCATAACCTTATATAAGGTTATTATAATACAAAAAGTTATAACCTTATGTAAGGTTTTAACTTTTAGGTAACCCAAGTTGGCTAAACGAAAAATAGATTAACTTTGGTTTAAAAGTAACTAGAATATAATAGATTTTATTTGTTATTTTTTTGATGGTCGCCCAACCAATTACTTTTCAAACTGTAGTTTATCTAATTTTCATTGGGCTACTGGTGTTACTGAAATGTTATAACTCAATGTACATTATATTTAATAATACTTTTTTTTAAAGGTGCAGTTAAGGATAATCTGTATACAAAGTATGCTTCAAAAACGGAAGTAAACGATCACTTGAAGTCGTGGATTAGTAAATCGTGCGAAAAAATTCAGATGGTGTCAGGATTGATTCAGCATGCTATTTGGAATTTTTGGAACAAAGACGGTGACGATGCAAATGGCGACAATAATGTCTACATTTGAGTACAACAGTTTTAATATTATTTAAAATGAAATATTATACATTTCATTTTATTGAATATGTTTTATTTTCTACAACAAAGGAGTTTTGATACCTTAAAAATAAGTTTACCTTAAATGAAATCACAAACACATTTGATTGCAGTACCTTTTGAAAGGTGGGTAATACCTTTTAGGATCAAGTCAGTTTGCATTTGAATAAAACAATTTAAATGGCTTTAACTAAATGCCGATTGCAATTGCAAACATTTTAATATATTAAAGAATATCAAATATAAGTAATTTTATGATAACAATGGCTTAACTAACAGCGTGCTAGGTACAAGTAGCGTTTATAATTTACTGAACCTAATAAAATATATCGGCGAATAAATGCTGGCTAAACTACATTGGGCCAATGCCAATGTAGGCATTGG